TTCTTGTTGTAAAAATATTTTTTTTAAAGATCTGTCTGACCACGACTCAATCCGATGAATCCGGTTGGCAGTATGCACTATGTATTAAACTGTATTCATCTCTTTCCATCTGTGTCCAGCTGCGATCCCCGTGAGCTAGAGGTGGGCAAAATCCGGATAATAATCGGATAATCCTCAAAAAGACGTTATCCGAATTCAGACTCTTAACTCTTTTTCCTGGCCCGTTTGCCGAAATGGGTGCACCTGTTTGTTCAAATGATGTTGACCCGTTTCTCAAAGCGGTTCTAACCCTTTGCCGAATCGGTTCATAGCATATTATTTACCGAAGAGGTGCACTAACATATGATCCGGATTTCGCTAAAGCGACTCATTGCCCAGCCCTATCGTGAGCCATCTTATGACCTTAATACACAGCTTCCTCAGAACTACAATGTTCTATCTGACATTTTTGGCCGTTTTCAGTTACTAAAGCGGCCCACACACGCTCAAACTTTTTCATCAATAATATTGACGTCAAACTTTTGGACGCTTTTTTGATCGGGTAGGGGGCGGCATTGATGGCCTCAAAAGTTTTTTTTTAATTCTTTTTTTTATTTTTTAGTAGAGGGTTTTACGGCTCTCGCAACTGCATAAGGTCATATGAGCGCCATCAAAAATATTGACGTCAAAATGTTGATGGATCTGTTTCAGTTGATAGTTTTTGCGCAAACCGTCAAACTATTGAGCGTGTGTGGGCAGTCATCAATATTTTGCGTCAAATTCACTTTTTGATCTTCTTCGCTTGCGGCACACTAGCGCAAGAGCCAGCGCTATTACTCCGTCCATTGCCGTTCACAGACTGAATAGTGCACAATAATATTGAGCAGGTATGGCAACCGTCAAAACTGTCAAAAAGTTTGACGTCAATACTATTGATGAAAAAGTTTGAGCGTGTGTGGGCCGCTTAAGACCATGAAATCAGAAATCCAATGCTCTACCTGCTCTATCAAAACCTTTAAATTATTATGAGTCGTTATCAAGATATTCAAAGAACTGCATTCGAAAAAGCTTGACACTATGTGAAACTCCAAATTTTAATCGTTGACGTCAAATGTCTCAAAACTAGATCCTGCGCAGATAGAACTGTGTAGGCCTACTTCTGAGGGAGTGACGCACTGAAGAAACCATTAAGACGAAAGCGAAGACATTATCGAGTAAATGTGGATTGAAAAGGATGGGGGGGGGGGGATGAAAGATACTAGTTTACAGTTCCGGGATCACCTACCAGCTTTCTAAATACTGTTGAGACCTGTGGATTAAGTCTAGGAAAGGCGTTCTGCGACTATGAGGTGGTTCAGGTTTTTGTTCAGGCTATCCAAGTTATTTTTAACCGCTCAAGGGATTAAATTAATTATACGTCCCCGCCGTGTGTACGCTTGGGCTCGCTCATTAAACGAGAGAACACGCGCTTACAGACAGCAGGGGATATCATTATTCAAATCCCCATAGCGGTTAAAAATAACTTTGTTGTTGTTTGCTCGTGAAATTTGAGAAATGGGTCTAATGAATAATAATAAAAAATTTATAAGTGAGATTTGTGGAATGGATCTATCTGAATAGTCCAAAAGTTTTAGGTTTGGGGAAGGGGTCTATTTGAATAGTCAAAATTTCAAAGATTTATATAATGGATCTATGTGAGTAATCAAAACGTCTTAGTGAGATTTGTGGAATGGTCTTATTTGAAAAATCAAAATTTGTAAGAGAGATTTGTGGAATGAATCTATCAGAATAATCAAAATTTCTTAGATTCGTGGAATGGTTTTACATGTATTTGAATAGTCAAAATTTCTAAAGATTTGTGAAATGAATCTTTGAGAGTAATCAAAATGTCTTAGTGGGATTTATGGAATGTATATAATCTTAATAGTCAAAATTTGTAATAGAGATTTGTGGAATGAATCTACCTGAATAATCAAACTTTCTTAGATTTATGAAATGGATATTATCTTAATAGTCAAAATTTGTAATAGAGATTTGTGGAATGAATCTACCTGAATAATCAAACTTTCTTAGATTTATGAAATGGATATTATCTTAATAGTCAAAATTTGTAATAGAGATTTGTGGAATTAATCTACTTGAAAAAAAATTTTAGTCTTACATTTGTGGAAAGGTTGTTGTTG